GGCAGCAGCGAGCAGCAAGGTGGAGGGAAGGGCAACGATACCACCGGAAAGCTGGAAGAGCTGCAATGCCCTCGAGGACATTCATGTTCCCCCTCCTTTCGTTGGAAGGTTTTAAACGACTTGATAGTATATTTTCTAGCACTAGATTTATCCCTGCTAGCCGTGAGCATGTGAATTTGTGATTTGTCACACCTCTAGATTGCTAATTATTCCTTAATAGCATCAGTGTTGGCTCTTCTTATTTGCTTCAAGCATGTCTGGACTGCAGGAATCAGGAACAATTTGTATGTCCTAGATCTCATGTGATGAAGGAGCAATAAGGTACAGCTCTACAAAAGCTTTTACAGGTAAAAACAAGATTTCCTGTTATTATTGGTAACTGTTCAAGGACAGGTGCTATACAACACTTCAGATATACAACAAAATATTATTTAAATTTCACCAGACACGCTGATAACTTCCCCTTTTGCCCTATGGGAACAGCTTTTGGCCAAAATCAGCCTTCTAGATCAGAGTCTTCATCAAAATCAGCCAGACCTCAGATCTCATCTACCAGCAAACTGCAGGGGAACACATTTAAGGACAAGGACTACAGGACTAGCAAATTAAAGTGGTTTTCTTGATGCCGAAGGATTCTATAGTACTAGGAAATTAAAGCATCTTCCCTGGTGTTTAATACAAGCTATTAATAAAACTTACATAAAGTTTGATAATTTTCACACTGAAAGGTATTTTACCTTTACACTGAAAAATTCTGCTTCTTGGTATTTTTATTTAGTCTAGCAAAACTACTAGGCCAATGTATTGTCTTCTAAAGGCAAATCTGAAAAAAAATCCAGTGTATTCACTGCCCAACAGCCAGAATTTTTTTAGATTCAAAAATCAGAAATTCTAGCAAGTTTGGCCCACAAATTGACCCCAAAACAGTTACAGGACATCAGAAAACAGCCCTTTGAGAACACAAAACAGTCCAAAATAGATTTCTACAGCTCTCCGGTGAGCAAAAAAACCCTACAGCCCACTTTACACAAAAACATAAGAATGATAAATACAGCCAACCAGCTTGGTAGCTTGTGTTCAACTGGTGTAAAAGAAGAAAAGTGAATTGCTTTGGTGATTCTACAGAGCGACCGACCATTTCCAGAACTGCTCATTTCCCAAGTAACGACCGACAGGCTTAAAAAATAGGAAGCTTTGAATCACTGCAACTTATAAAGATTAGTTCTTTTGAGACTGTTGATAGGAAGAATCAGAGCATCGTTTTGTATACATATTTTGTGTCGTACTCAGTCAAAAAATTCACAGTGAAACGGAATAATTTCAACCTAAAGAGTTATCCACAGAACTATACTTTATGTACAGTTTATTTCACTAGAGATTTTAATTTTATACATAGTATAAAGGGGTATCCTGATATCACACATATAGTTACTTTACCGTACTGTTTAAGAACCAATTATTTTTTCTTTTACATAATACAGTATTAAGTACCATATTAATTAAAACAAGTGATTTTAAAAAAACCTACATATAAATGGATGTTTATCATATGCACAGTGCAAGAATGTTTTTATATCATTGTAATCACAAAATGTGAATCTAAAATACAACACTGCGATTTAAAACTAATTTATAATTATGATGCCCTGTGTTGTAGGCAGACAGACTTGAATAACCTTTGTTTCAATTACCAAGCAATGTTAAATTCCAGACAAACAGCAGCAGCTTACGATTTTAAAGAGACCTTCCACAGTAACCCAAGTTTTACAAAACACTGGCTTATCCCTACTTCTGATCTTGACTGCATCCTAAAGAAACAGAAGAATGGCACAGATTTCATTTGGAATTCTTGGATAACTAACGCTAAATAAATTCTTGAGTACTTCCACAAAGAAAACCTTAAGAGCTTTTAAGAGCGATTGAAGAGATAAAGATGGAGAGATAGATGGGCAGGATTCTCCGAATTTTAGTAGCAAACGACAGGACTTCTCTTCTGCAAATAGGAAGAAAATACTGCAATAGAACTCAGGTTGTAAAATTTACAGAAAACCATCGTGGCAAAGAAAGTACTCCTAATGTAAACATGTCAGAGATGATTTCTTCATTTTCCCTTTCCGCAGACTGGGGCAGTGGATGAGCATTAGCTAATACGAAACAGGCGTCTTCCTCAGAAGAACCGCTTCGCCATCACAGATTGTATGTGGTCGTTTGAGAATTGCTAACATGTTTTCTCCCCTCCCTCCCCCCCCAAGTTCCAAGTTCAATAAATAGTAGAAAAATAATCCTTTTCTTAAAAATCTTGAGATGCATTGTCCCAGGTTCCATACAGCAATGGTCGGAGCAGTGAACTTTCCTACGCACAAAGCAGAAATGGCAGAAAAACCTTTTCTCCCCCTTCTGCCTGGCACCTTTTTAAGTTTTCAGCTGCACACATTTCTGCTCTTCCAGTTAAGGAAACCAAATCATCTCTGGCTCTTTTGAGCTCGCTCGCTCCCCCTTCTCTTGGCTCAGCATAACAGGGCTTCCAGAGTTTCAGCTGCTGTATAAACTTGTATCCCTGTTTTTGGAGGTCTAACATGCCTCTTGCTCCGTTTTATTAAATGTTATGGCAGGCCCATTCATCACGCACGCTTCCCTTCCACTCCAGAGCCAACCTTCCATTTAGGAAAATGTAAAGCTTTTTTTTTTTTTTATGCCTAACAGTTTACTCGGGAAGTTAGTTAAATCGTTCCTGGCGAGAAGCACAAACCGGGGCTGCCCGTTGCTGCACGGATCGTCGCGCGGCCGCTCATTAGCACTCGGCATCCACCGTGTGTACCGTGACGGCCGCCTGCCGGTGGTGGCTGGCGGGGGAAAAGCCAGAAGCAGGGCTGAAAACTCAGTGTTTCGCAGCGCTGACTGCCCCAACCAGCACGCGACCAGGGGCAGTCTGTTCTTCAGACAGAATAAAGTAGCATCTGCTTTTATTAAGAGAAAAGGGGGTAAAAATCCCCTGTAATTTTGAAACAGAAGCCCTTTTATTGCCACAGTCTTCCATGGGGAGCCTACAGGCCTGGCCATACCAAACAGCAAAACCAATTTAGGCACACAGCAGTTCACTATGGAAGGTTTGTTAGTGCTGATTTTTAATAACACCCCCAAAATTCTGCTATCCTCTGTTTTATCTTTTAAGAGATTACTTGGATTTTACACACTAACAAGTGGGGCCCGCTTCCTCCACCTCTACTCATGCCAAACTGCAACTGTGCTAGTAAGGATCCCCAGCTATTCTGTAAGCAGCAAAACTTCTTCACATGATCTTATCATATTTTATATTAACACAATACTATGCTTTTAAATGGAAAAGAATGCTCTTGGGATCTATTTTCAAAAAAAAAACCCAAGGATATTTCTTTTTAAGACTGGTGAACTTTCCAGAAAATTAATCTGTTGAATCCATATGGAAGTGTTTTACACAGGTCCATTTAGTCAAATAATGCAGACTTTTTCCACTGAACATGCACACATAGCATGATTAACTTGAGGCTCTCCTTCCTCCAAGGTATCTATTCCTGGGGTCTGAGAAGTTAAAAAAAATGAAGCATTTATATAAATAATGAGACATTATATTCACTGGGATTTTCTAATGAAAGAACCTCATTACGAAGTTTGGTAATTGCTGATTGTTGCAAGACAAGGTCAGGTTTTCGCTAGCAGCTGCTACAGGACTGAGGCTGACCACTGGTCAGGTCTGGTTTGCGTTGTTCTAAAAACCAGACCTCAGTACTTCCAAATGCGAAAAGGCAAACATAATTCCAAAGAAAAAGACCTTGTGTTAATTAAGAAAACGTGCCTTCAGAGAAGACTTTGGCTAAAAGCTGGAAAACAAAACAAAACGGTGCTTCTGAGCATCTCAATTTGTTGGGTTTTCAGCTTGAGACACCTAAGACAGGTGTTATAAATATCAGCCTAAGGACCCCAAGTTGATTCTCACTTTCCACAGCCTTGGCCCTTGTTTCTAGTTGGCAGAGAGGAACGAGGCAATAAAACTGGACAGGCCTTTGAAGGAGAGGAAATTACAGAAACTAAAAATAGAAGTGCACATTTATGAAGAGGGTGGACAGTTACCCTCATAGCCCTGACATGTTGACAAGAAAGATGGTGAGGATTTGCTAGGACTATAAGAAATGGAGCAAAAGTAGCATTATCTTAGCCTCATCACAGGTAATCTGACCCCAAATCCAGGATAATTCCTCCTAGATCAAGACTGTGCCTCTTTCAGACATCCGTCCATCTGTGTCCCAAGGCTGTAGTCTTGAGGTTTGCTGTCCCTGAGCAATTCCATCAGTGCAACCACTGTCTTAATAATAGAACAGGTCTGTTATAAGATACAGAGCCACCCGGCCACGCAGCGCGGGCTGACGTCCGTGGCAGGGTGCCTTGGCCAACCTCCTCTTAACTTACACCGAGCCCTCCTCAGGAGTCAGCAGCACGACACCCCTCTAACTGCTCCTATGATTTAAGACCACCTAGTTGTAGGGGCAAGAGAGAGAAATCAGTTCCATGAGGGGTTATAATAGAGTGGGAAAAAAAAGGAGAAAACAAAACCCATAGTTGGGTATTCTCCATAGCTATTCATACACACAGACAATGTTGACCGTTTGTTTACTTTAGTTGCTTTAAAGGTGACATAAGATGTCCTCTATGGTGATGGCCTTGACTGAATGTGCAACAGAAAGGCCAAGGAAGCTTCTGACTCATCGACTTTAATCCATGCTTAACTGCAGCTCAGCCAACGCGGGCAGCCAGCACGCACTGCTATAATGGGTGTTTTATGTGACGCCAGGCATGCCACATCTAAGGAAGGAGCGGTCCCCGTGCTCCGGGGAAGCACGCGAGCTCCATCACCTCGAGCGAATGTTGAAATCCCCCAGGGGAGCTGACAAAACCCAGGCCTCGGAGACAGAGCACTGGGTGTCACCAGCCGCCCTTTGCAACCCCGGCCCCCTCGCTGCACAGCGTCACTGCCGAAAGGACCGTTTCACCGCGAGGCAACAGGGAGCAAAGGTTTCCGTCACGGGTTTTTCTTCTGGGGACCTTATCTGCAAGATGCCAGACTGCCGAGGAAACCCGCGGACGCGGAGCAGGGCTTGGTTCCAGCTCTTACCGTGGTCGCTCTCGGTGCCCGAGCGTCCCCAGTAGCGGCGCCGGCGCTCGGGGCTGTGCGCGTGCCGCTCTATCACCGCCGCTATGAAGCGCGTGTTGCTGACTGCGGGGGAAACACAAGCACACGGTGGGGAAGGGAGCTCCCCGGGGCTCCGCGGGTTCCAGGCTGCCCGGGAGCCCCTTCTTCCCAAAGCCGCTCCCGTTGCGGAGCGAGACCACAGGGGAGGGGTAAATTCAAATGTGGAACAGATCGAAATGAAGAAACGCATTTGCTTCATTTACTTGGATCGACAGAAGTTAGAGAATGACTGTAACAGCACTGAAGAAACCAGGAGGCACCAAGCGCCCACAAACTAAAAAGCACTTGTAGAAGCAGTAGATGCAGGCCACGAATCTCAGACGTGCCTTTTTTTGCAGTCTTCACACATTTACAGTATCAAATCCTGTGTTTGACTGAATCCTATTGAGTTGGGGATAAGAGACAGGGATCTGGCCTGACTTTGCAGCTCTCCCAGATTCTGGACACACTCGCAGTACAGCAGCACCATGTATAAAGTGCTATTTTTGCTGAACGGTACAGAACTACCAACCCAAGTCAAGGGAGATTTATGGACGTGCCAGGCGGTGCTCTCCTTGGCCAGGCTGAACTAAGGGAGGAGCTTTTCACCCCTACACGGGCACAAATGCAATTTTAGAGCTGCCTCAGAACCATCTCTGAGACTGGCCATGGAGAAGTGGACTAAGAGGGGCAGAACAGACAAACTTCCTGCTCACGTAATGCAGAAAAC